TGGCTGAGCGCTGCTGACATCACGAGTCTGAGCCACGGGCTCCGGTGTTTAGCAGCAGACGGAGGAGCTCTCGCCGCAGACCGAGCCGGAGCCGCGGAGCCGCGGAGAGGAGAGGAGAGGAGGAGCGCAGCGGCACATGCGGTCTATGGGAACTAACCCTCTGACCGATGGAAATAATGACCGCTGGCATGCGTCAGGTGAGTGCACACAGGTAACGACTGCGCCACAGAGAGTTAGGCTGTGAAACTTTGCTCGAGGCAGTGTGCGGGGCTCGTTTCTCAGAGGTGAACGTGTGCGCTGGTGCGTTTCAGGACATCGTGGGTCTCTGCTGAGCCGTTTGCTGTAATAGATGCTGTGAAGTGCGCTTGATCTCTCTCTCTCTCTCTGTGTGTGTGTGTGTGTGTGTGTGTGTGTGTGTGTGTGTGTGTGTGTGTTCAGTCTTTGGTGGAGGCGTCTGATCGCGCGAGCGTCTTATGAAGCGCATCCCAGTATCAGCACCGGCGCTGGAGAAAACACATTTAGAAATGCTTTTGGTTGCTACTTTCAGTTTTTCATGTCTTTTTTATTTTATTTATGCATCTAAGATAGAATTAGAGACTCTCAAAGTTCATATCATGAGACTCACTTTTACTAGGTTTGTTTATTTATATAATAATCAGACATTTTTGTACTGTGTTTTTTAGGGATCTGTCAGTCGTCTGAGCGCGAGCGACTGAAATAATGTCGCGGCGCAGATGGGGCTGAATAAAGACCCCGCGGGTGTGAGTGCATGAAGGAATAAATGCAGATATTACATGCAATCAAAGAGCACAGATTACACTTGATGACACGTCTGATATGAAATGTGATTGTTCCTTTTTAGGTTAAACATCTGGAGCTAAATGCATAAGTAAGTGCTACATTGACTGCTAATGTTTGTGACAGCTATTGATTTTAACAATAATTCCCAGGTTTGAGACGTGGCTGAAATTTCACATCTGGCTTCACAAACGCATGCAGAACAAACAGCTTATTTGTCACCGCTGACACAATCAATACATGTGCGACAGCAACAGCTCTGTCTCGTTTCAGGAGCATTAGGACCGTGAGTTCAGACTGATCGTGCCATCAAACTGTGCTTTCTCTTTCCCGTTTCATTTTCCCAATCCTCCTGTCAGCATTCCCTGCATCTCATTCAGACATCCCTTCTGTCAGATGCTCCCAAACACCAAACACACGCTTTACGGGAAGACAAGCACACGCTGAGGTCTCCAGACGCTGGCAAGCTTGATTTCTGTAGTGCTTTATACAATACAGATTGTTTCAATGATGCAGATATGAGACGGATCTAAATGCTGCTGCTCTGAAAGACAGCATTGTCATTTGATTTAGTGTCAGATTAAGAGTTGTGTGATATTATCTGTGTGGTCATCGACTCTTTAAAGGTGCTGTCGTGTATCAGTAGGCGTATGGTGTCTCCAGGTCCTGGCACGCGTCCCTTTCCTCCTCTTTGTCCCCCGTCGAGGCTCCATCTTTGCTGGATTGGACATCCGGCTCGTGTCCAGCAAGCTGTTTCTCTCCGAATGCGGTTTGAGAGAGAAGTGTTTGCAGGATTGATTTGGAAGGATGTTTGTGAGCGCAGCGTCACTCCCACACGCCACGATTTGACAGCTACCTTGTGCAACATGATTGTCAGAGTGTGTGTGTGTGTGTGTGTGTGTGTGTGAGAGAGAGAGACTGATGACAGCACACACACACACACACACACACACACACACACCCCGGGGCTACAGATCTCATGAATATCAATCAGCCACGGACATCAGCCTCTTAAATAATGCAGCAGCGGCGGCCGTTCAGCTGATAAATGCGCTTCATTGTCAGCGTGGAGTGTTTGCTTAGCTGCGCTCTCCGTTCCACACACGCTTTCATCTCACGGGAAAAACAGGCTGCTTTTCAAAGCGGTCCGAAAGTGCAAAACTCACAGCCTTTTGTCTCAAAGCTGACGTATAATTTCAGCCCCTGTTGACTAGAATCTCGCTGGAGTTTGTGATCGTTAAAGCCATGGCAACTCGGAGCTCATTAAGGATTGCTTAGTAAGATTTCACCAGAAGCTGTGTTAGAATGATCATACGTGTCCCTGCAGCACAAAAGCAGACGTAAGCAGCACAGGTATATTTGTAGCAACAGCCAACAATACACTGTATGGGTCTAAATTCATGCCAAAATGTTTTAGATTTTTTCTCAGATTTCATATAGTTGTATCTCAGTCAAATATTGTCCGATCCTAACAAACCACACATCAATGGAGAGCTTATTTATTCAGCTTTCAGATGATGCATACATCTCAATTTCACAGAATTGACCCTTATGACTGGTTTTGTGCTCCAGGGTTACGCATGTAAAGTGTAAAAAAATCTTGTATAATCATAACTGCTTTTTTAAAATGAGCTACTTTTGTTGTATTTATGCAGCACTTGTATATTTGGTTTTGAAATGAAAATAGCCTGGGTTGCTGACATGGCGTTAAAAACTGCAGTACTACTAACGAGTTCCCCCATAATAGCGTCTGACCCGTGTTCTGTGTCTGCAGGCTCCTGAAGGACATGAGCGCTGTGTCGGCAGTGATGGGGCCCCGGGGCCGCTGCAGGGGACATGGGCACATGCCACGCCACTGAAAGCCACCAGGGTTCGGTCTTCACGGCAGCGCGCAGCAGAACATCGGGTAACGCCGCTGCTCCTCTTCTGTTTATCGCCTGTGTTTCACACATTATGAAAACAATGCGGATCGTTTTCCTGCATAAAATGACCCTCGTTACTGCAGTTAAACACAGATTTCGACGCTAATATTTGAGCTGCTGTTCATTAGGCGACAGGATGTCAGGAAACTGAAAACTAACTAACTGGAATTAGTCCTTAATGTGTGTTTTGAATTGAACTTGCATTAGTTAAACACTAAAAATACTGGATTAAGGTAAGGCACTACACGCAAAAACACTGTTTTTTTTTAATGCATTGGTCAATTTTGTGCTATTTGGCTTTTCGTAACATGTTTATTTCAGACTAGTGGAAAGAAAACATCCAGAATACACATTTAAATATTTATTTTGTTGCACTTTATTTATTTGTGCCTGTAGAGTTCCAGTCCATATCTTTACAGATATGATAATCAATCAACCGGGGAAGTGTATGTGTGTGTGTGTGTGTATATATATTACTTATTTATTTAATTTACTCTATTCACCTGTGGGGTTTGCCTTAAATGAAAACAAAGAATATTATTTCACAAGTGTACAATGTTGCTTCTAGGCAATTCCTCAAAACATGCAAATAATTCATTTTAATGAATTTTAAATTTAAAGTTTTTTCACTAACACATTTTGTTGATGGGTGAAAGATGATTAGAAATAGAAACGTGTGTGTGTGTGCGCGCAGCGAGAAGGTTTTAAAAAGCTTTCTGCTGGTTTCTGAGGTTTTTATTCCTCGTGGCTCTCGAATGCGTTCACAGGTTTCTCCACCATCTGGAGGATCGCTGTTAGAAATCTCACTCTGCGCTAGCGTGTTAATGAAATCTGAGATTGGTGTAATTCTCATTAGTTCAGGTTCTTGCGCGAGACACTCGGCTCATAATTGCTGGAGGTTAATTGGTTTGGGTTACAGCATTCATGTATAGCGTCTCCCTCGAGAACTCGGCCACGTCACGCAAGACGTCATGCAGTTTTATATAAGTTTATGCTATTTTAGAGCATACTGACGAAAGATGATGTGCAGCAGCTAATGGACCGTTTTCACATTTCCGTGTTTCTCAGCAGCAGAAGTCCTCCTAGTTGGGTTAACTTCAGGAGCAGTGAATGGGAGAGTACCACAAATAGCAAAAGAGAACGATGTCAAATTTACCGTCCCTCCCATAGCCGCTGCATTAGAAACACTCTCACGTCAGCCTTAACTAGTGTTTTTGTCATTTGATGCAAAGGTGATATAATACAAAGAATAGTTATAAATGTACGGGGGTCCGCATCAAAATAAATTTACAAAAGTGATTATATGTCGATAGAAAGCACATTAAATGTTAGTAAATTGTCGACTTTTAAGGTTTCAAATACGTTTTTGAAGAATAAAATGTCAAAATTTGGTTGAAGTAATGTTACATTGTCATTCAGTGTAGCACGTATATTTATGTAAAAATTCAAACGACATGCTTATTCTGATGTGTACGTATTAAAATATATAAAAGAATAAGGGAGCATATTAAATTTTATTGGTTTTTAAATGAGTAAAAAATGATTACTGACAAATGAGCAAAAGCTAGGATAGTGGCACATTTAAAAAAAAAAAAGTAAAATTACAACTAATTAGTGTTTAGGGTGAAAGTAATTAGTCTTTTAATATGTCATAAATTGATTTTTGTTGTAAATATGCCTGACGAGATTGTTATTTATTTAATTTACTCTATTCACCTGTGGGGTTTGCCTTAAATGAAAACAAAGAATATTATTTCACAAGTGTACAATGTTGCTTCTAGGCAATTCCTCAAAACATGCAAATAATTCATTTTAATGAATTTTAAATTTAAAGTTTTTTCACTAACACATTTTGTTGATGGGTGAAAGATTATTAGAAATAGAAACGTGTGTGTGTGTGCGCGCAGCGAGAAGGTTTTAAAAAGCTTTCTGCTGGTTTCTGAGGTTTTTATTCCTCGTGGCTCTCGAATGCGTTCACAGGTTTCTCCACCATCTGGAGGATCGCTGTTAGAAATCTCACTCTGCGCTAGCGTGTTAATGAAATCTGAGATTGGTGTAATTCTCATTAGTTCAGGTTCTTGCGCGAGACACTCGGCTCATAATTGCTGGAGGTTAATTGGTTTGGGTTACAGCATTCATGTATAGCGTCTCCCTCGAGAACTCGGCCACGTCACGCAAGACGTCATGCAGTTTTATATAAGTTTATGCTATTTTAGAGCATACTGACGAAAGATGATGTGCAGCAGCTAATGGACCGTTTTCACATTTCCGTGTTTCTCAGCAGCAGAAGTCCTCCTAGTTGGGTTAACTTCAGGAGCAGTGAATGGGAGAGTACCACAAATAGCAAAAGAGAACGATGTCAAATTTACCGTCCCTCCCATAGCCGCTGCATTAGAAACACTCTCACGTCAGCCTTAACTAGTGTTTTTGTCATTTGATGCAAAGGTGATATAATACAAAGAATAGTTATAAATGTACGGGGGTCCGCATCAAAATAAATTTACAAAAGTGATTATATGTCGATAGAAAGCACATTAAATGTTAGTAAAGTGTCGACTTTTAAGGTTTCAAATACGTTTTTGAAGAATAAAATGTCAAAATTTGGTTGAAGTAATGTTACATTGTCATTCAGTGTAGCACTTATATTTATGTAAAAATTCAAACGACATGCTTATTCTGATGTGTACGTATTAAAATATATAAAAGAATAAGGGAGCATATTAAATTTTATTGGTTTTTAAATGAGTAAAAAATGATTACTGACAAATGAGCAAAAGCTAGGATAGTGGCACATTTAAAAAAATAAAAGTAAAATTACAACTAATTAGTGTTTAGGGTGAAAGTAATTAGTCTTTTAATATGTCATAAATAGATTTTTGTTGTAAATATGCCTGACGAGATTGTTACACTGAACGATTGACTGGGTATCTTCTGTAAATCAGGGGGAAATGTATCATATTTCTTTTTTGCTCGGAAAAACAAAAATACAATTGCATGAAACAGAAAACTTAAAAACATTTTTTTTTTTGGAAAAACAACAACATTTTAAAACGGTGTTGTTTTTATGCTTAAACCCTTTTTCGTCTTTGACCCACATATATTTAAATTATATAAAGCTTTCGAGGATTTATGATGCTGATGATGATGTTAACCGCGTCCTCACAATCTTGAGAAACGGGTCCATAGCTGTGTGTTTGTAGATAAATCGTAAAAAGCACGAAAGCTCGAGTGTGACATTTACATGTTTAATGATGCACTTCAGAAGCAAACGAATCAGATGTTTCTTTTCTCTATTAGTGCTTTTTTCCTAAATATGTTGATGTCGCAGCCACATGTGTTCCAGCTTGCAGGCTCTCGGCCGGCGCTCCAGGTCGCTGTGTCTGATGAAGATGTCTGATTCTGTCGGAGAGGACGAACGCCAGCTCAACGTGCCACAGAGCCGCCGCATGCACGAGGAGAACTGCAGCGACGACAGCACTGAGACGCAGGTAACGGGACTCTCTTCTTTCTCCAGTTCAGTTTGAAGCCTAAAGAACAACTCAGAGGCTTGTGGGAGAGAAAGAGATTTGAAAGAGATTTCAGTTGATTCAGTGACTCATTCATGAAGAGTCATTTCAGCTTTGTTTCCGAATGAATCAGCAGTTTGAACGAATTGATTGAATGAATGAATCAAAAACTCGCTCATTAAAACAGTGGCTCGCTGCCACCTACTGCCACTTTGTTTTATATTTCTTTCCATAAAAAATAATTTAATATTTCAATATTCAAATTTAACAAAATAATGATCTTTTGAGGGGTAATTTCTCTGCCCAAATTGATAATTAGATTAATTAATCAGCACATCAATTTAATAGCTTGACAGCTGTACTAATAAATTATTTTAGCGCATGCAGCTGTTCAGTGATCACCTTTAATAAATGCATGAATATTTATGAAAATATATAACAGCTGCAGTTATATGTTAGTCGGTTTTTAATTGATCGTGAACCCGCTTCAGGCGGTTTGGAGCGATGACCTGCAGGCTGTGTTGTTGCTATATTGCACACATTGATGGCTGTAGTTCGTTCTGTCCTTCAGATGCGATTGTGCCTTTGTTTGTGTGGAGAGCAAGGGTCAGCGAAACAAATCAGCTCTAGCAATCAATCGTGCGTAACTGTGTTATGAGGAGCGGCAGACACGGATGCTGCGTCTGGATTGGACAGATCCTCTGTTTCTGATACGGTGACATTTCTCCGTCCAGCCTTTCGCTTGATTTCAGTATTGGCCTGTCCCATCCCTGAGAGAGCCGATCGGCGGGAGCTTTACGGCCATCTGCCTGTTCCTCCGGCGCCGCTGTGTGCTACAGACTCTTCCAGCATCGGCGGTCATCCGTCCAGCCTTTCGCTTGATTTCAGTATTGGCCTGTCCCATCCCTGAGAGAGCCGATCGGCGGGAGCTTTACGGCCATCTGCCTGTTCCTCCGGCGCCGCTGTGTGCTACAGACTCTTCCAGCATCGGCGGTCATTGAGGATCCGTGGCCTCGTGCCAGATTCTGCCTCTCGGGGAATACGGGATCTTCACTAGCCAATTAAAGCTGAATAACCTGCGCTTATTAACAATCGGCCTGTTGAGGCTGAGAGAACAACTGAGACAAGACACGCCAACAAATAATGTACTGAATCACTGCATATCTATATGTTCTTATATCTATCTGTCTGTCTATCTATAGATATGTAGATATAGATACATAAGTTTATATATTTAAATAATTAAAAAGTGTGTCTGTGTATGTGTATATATA